TTTTTTTTTTTTTTTTTTTTTTTAAATAGGTGGATAAGTTTTCTTGTATTTGGAGAAGGTTGGCACAATAACCACCATGCTTTCGAGTACTCAGCTAGGTTGGGCATTGAATGGTGGCAATATGACCCTGGTTGGTATGTCATTAGGTTTCTTGAAGCCATTGGAGTGGCCACTCATGTCAAATTGCCATCTCAAACCCATATGCAAAAATTAGCCAAAGATTAGCTAAAAGAACCCTCTCTTTGACTGATGCTTTGTATGGAAATAATTATGCTTCTAAAAATAATGTGGAATAAAATAAAATCCAAATATAAATTAGTTGCTATGGTTATAATAATTTTTTTATCGATCAATTTATACCATGCATTGAGTATTTCTTTATTTAATTTTGTGTTCATATTCTAATTCATTATTTAAAAGGTAGAAAAGAAGTTATTAATTTGTGTATAATTTAACCAATTAAAAAATATACTTCTAAGTTTGAATTGCCAATTCAATGAAATAAAGTAAATATAATTAAAAAAAAAAACAAAAAACAAAAAAACCTTGAAGAGAACTTTTAAACCAAAGAAATAATGATATTAATTAGGAGGTATACTTCTTGGGTTTGTATACAATATTCATACTCGGATGGTGCCTGCTTCTTTATCGTCAATCCTCTTATTATCGGTTTATTTTCCTTTGTTTCTAAATGTTAGGTTATAGATTCGACACATATTTATAGCTTACTCAGTGATTATACATAATAAAACTATATACGGTAAATAGTTATATATGATAAATGATAATATTGGATACTCTAACAAATTATACAAAACTGAATAAGAACTAGAATTACAAATCTAGCCATGATGAATATTCTAGAAATGTACCTAAAAACATTGGGAAACTCTAACCCTTAGCGTGGCAACCTGATTAAATTCTAGATTTTGTATTCAAGTGTATCCTTTTGTTTATCTCCAAATAAAGAATTGTTTCGAAATTTCAAATCTGAAAATTTTGAGAAGATGCATCTTGCCGGCAACAAAATCTTGGAGATTGAAAGAAAGGGGATGTTGGAATAAAAACTCCCACATAAAATCAATGAGCATGAAAAGATATTAGATATATTCATGATCTCAAGAATAACCTAATCTCTATTGGTCAGTTGGGTAGAACAGGATATACTATAGACTATAGAGTTTGGGAAGAGTTCGTGGAAGATTATGAAAGATGCTAGGGTGATCACATGTGGCACAAAATCTGAAACCTTATACAAGACTGCGTGTATAAACATGGTTGTTGGTGAGAGTACTTCCAATTCAAGTCTATGGCACAGTAGACTTGGACATATGGTCGTCAGTTCCCTTGGAGTTCAAGTTGCGTCAATAAGTATCGATACGAAAAGAACTCAAGTATTTGCTTGAATTTGTACTACTTTTGGACCTTAATTGAAAACCGATCTTTCAAGCAGTTTTCTCCCCGCTTCCTTCACAATATGTATTCAAAATAATTTCTCAAATCAAAATGAACAATATTCCGAAGCAAATAATCACCTAAACACTCGGATCTAAACAAAATCGATGTTTTTAAACCGACAAATAATATCTTCAGTTCTTCCTCGATTATTGACCGATTCTAATTATTCAAAGCCCAAAAAATGAGAAACTTTTGAGGAGGCTAGCCAAAAAATAACTCTAAGTTAACTCATATGGAGGTTGAAATTAGTTTTCTACACTTCATTTATCCAATAACTTGTACTTTCTTTTATTCCTTTCCCCTCAATATTCCAAAATTGTAACTCACAAGTTATCTATTCCGAGTTAAAGGTAGAAAATGACCAAAATGCTCCTCGACTTTTGATCATTGACTTTTGACTTTTCTTTTCTCTCTCATTTTATTTTATACTTTAAAATTTTTACTTATGATATTCAACTCCTAAAATCCTAAATAAAATTTGTTAATTTGAAATTCAAAAAGAAAAATGATGAAAGTTTATATCTTCCTAGCTCGAATGTTACAATAACATTCGTGTGGTAACATCCGTAACATCCAAATTATGTTCTAAAAGAAGGTTGTTACCATTTTAAACTTATAATGAATTAGGTTTATTATTACTTTTTACTTGTTTCAACTGTATAAAAAATTATGATTATTAGTGTTATTAATATTACTATAAAGTTATGTACGTATCTATCTTTTCAAGTAGGCAGTATGTGTGCCTTAACCTATATCTATTGCACTTAAATAAGCTAGACATTTAGTTGGAAGTGCCTTAAACTATTATATTGTGATTTAAAATTGCACTATAAATACGCATGCAAGAGGTGGTGAAGTTGCCTCAACTAGAGCAACGCCCACTCCAATGGATGCATCAAGAGAACCAAAGATAGACAAAAAGTTGGCTTTTGTTTTTTTCTTTTTGCTTTGTATTTTTGCACCCTTTCCAATCAACTTGCAATTTGTTTTACTTTATATATTATCACGGGTCTCTTCGGCATTACGATTTCGTATCATCGAAATCTTTCACATAAGAGTTTCAAACTTCCCAAATAGCTTGAATACTTGTTTGCTTACGGTAGACTTCATGCATTTCAGGTTTGGTGACTCATTTAAAAACAAATTGATCGAACCTAAAGTTTACCAAGATTTATGTTTTTTTTTTTCTTTAAATAGGGTGATCCAATCTATTGGGTGAGTAGGCATAGATGTCATCATCAATTTGTTGATACCGAAAAATACCTACATAGTCTAATTAATGGATTTTGGTTTAGTCATCTTACTTGGTTCCTTCATAACGAAAATTGGATAACGTTGGCGATTTGGAGAAGCAAACATTCTATAGGCAAAACATATATATTTCATCCAATTGCTCTAGCAGCCATACTTTATAGCATTGGAGGCACTCCTTTCTTCATTTGGGAACGGTAACAAATAACTTTACTTTTTTAGCTTTATATTTATGAAAATTAATTATTCAATTAAAGGCATATATCGCTCTAGTGACACATTATTCTTTTGTTGAACAGTGTGTGAGAACGGTAATGATTTTACATGCCATATTTTTGGTGAATTCAATATGTTACATGTGGGAAAAACAACCATAGAAAACAAACGACTTATCTAGAAACAATTGGTATGTATCTTGGATGAATATCAATTTTGAGTAAAATATGATCAAACTTATTTATTGCATAAACTTTTATTTCATCTTAATAATATTTTCCTTTTGTGCTTTGAATTCAATAGAACATTGAACCATCGACTTTTAAGAATGTGATTAGTGTCTTATCCACTAAGTTATGCATGTATCGACGTACGTATCAAAATTACAAATATAATTAGTTGTTCCATAAATGGATTATTGCAATTTATAGTCTCGTTATTATTAAATGATTATGGAATAATAATGTTTATATAACCGATAGAACTATATTTTGCTATTTATTGTCATATTTTTGTGTTTTCCTCCACAGGGTGGTGAATTTGCTTCTATTTGGAGAAGGTTGGCACAGTAATCACCATGCTTTTGAGTATTCAGCTAGGATTGGCATTGAATGGCGGCAATTTGACCCTGGTTGGTATGTTATTGTGTTTCTTGAAGCCATTGGAGTGGCTACTGATGTCAAATTGCCATCCCAAACCCATATGCAAAAGTTGGCTAAAGATCCAGTAAAAGGATCCTCTCTTTGAGTGATGTTTTACGTGGAAATAATATTACTTCCAAAAATAACTTGGTTCTTTACCGAAATTGCAGAGCTTCATTCCTATTTTTCAGAAAAATTATTGTCGTATAAATAATTAACTGATAAAGAACTAATCACACTAAAAATAGGATGGCTCGGTCATGTTACTTCTCTCTTTAAATAGTAAAAACTATCCTCTTATGTAACCCTCTTTCATCTAAAGTCAAATAATAGATGTTACTATTAACACAGATAATTTATTTTTAAAATAAAACCATAAAACATAAACATTTTCTTTAAATGGAGTAAAACAAGTGCATTACATTCCATAAACATAAAACTATAGAATACTTTACCTACTCAAAGCACCCTTTATAAGTTCACAAACAACAAAAGTAAATGTATTAAAAAATAGACTCCGATCTAAATAGTATTCCCTGTCGTCTCTAACTCAACTACTTCATTGCCTCGATCACTCAACATTACGCCTATTTGAAAAGAAAAAATAAAATAATTTCGATGAATAATTAAGTTATTCAATAAATAGCTAATTTGTACTTTACAATTTTAATTAATCATCTTCCCCGTCATTCTTAAGTTTTATTCACCAATGTCTTCTAGTTTTTTTTACTAGGATCTTTTGTTCATTAAAAGGTATTACAACTGCTTCAACATTAGACTATTGACTCATTATATGCTTATTTCAATTTTTGGACACGTATGTAAGGCTCGCTCTCGATCAACTAAGACCCGTCTACTAAAGTCTCTGGTGGCCTGTAACATCATTAAAAGGTATTCCTACGAATGATCTAATAGGAAACGACGACCGGTGATAGTTTGGAACGCTTTTGAAGAGCAGGAGCTTACATAAATTAATTAGGAAGAACGCCGGCTAAGGCCAACCATGTAAATGGACCTACCTTCGTTAGGTTATGAATTCAATGTTGTATGATGACATGTGCTCATTGTTTCGCACGTGTCACAGACCGTATAGGTAGACTGGTACGAACTAATACGTAAATGCTACGGGATGTGATTGCTATGCATTGTTTCATCTTTTTTTTTTTTTTTTTTTTTTTTTTTTTTTTTTGTTTGTTTTTGTTTTTTCAACACGTCTCTCTTCTCTATATTCCTTGTGGCAAGAGCCACCTCGGCTCCTATCATTCTTTGTGGACTAATATGAGTCATTCCAACATTTTTTGTTCTCACTCACATGTATCCTAGAAAAATTTCAAGATGCCACCCAAATCCAAATTCAGCACTTGATAGCCTCGACATTCCCCTACATCTCGTGCGACATGGTCATGTTACTTACTCCTCGATTCTAAGAGTGAAGACTATCCCCACATACCAACACTACTCTTTCCATGATGGTTTGTCCTCACTCGCATGCATCTTGGGAAAATTCCTAAGGAATTACCCAACATGGCATGCTTAACCTTGGAGTTACTCTGATTGACCCACTGAAAAAAGAATGTACATCGTTTTAGTATATATAATAACTTTTAATTCTTTTCAGTATTTTTTAACTATCATATCTTCATGATTGCTCTTATAGTATTACTATGAGGCAACAAGAGGACCATATGGACATGCGAATTATAAGTTCTAATGAAACAAAATTA